TCGATCAAAAAACACAAAGAGCTTAGAAAAGATTTGAAAAGGAAATTATTTTCTACAACATATGAAGGAGTATCTACGCTTCATTTATGCTGCAGAGCAAATTATCTTCCAGCAGATAACAGGAATGCTGGACAAAGCAAAACAAAGATCCTCTATTTTATTCTTTTAATATAACGACAAATAGATTTGAAAATATGGGGCATCATTCAGGAAACCTTCGTTAACGCAGAGGTTTCAAACTTTTCTTGCTTGGTAAGAAAAGTTGGTTTAAAAAGATGTTTTCCTGTAAACCACAAAATATTAGAGTGCTTCTTTCTTTAAAAGCAGCAAAATGTGTTCTTATATTTTGGATTGACAATAAGATTTCTTTAAAAAAATAATAAGTAATAAGTTCTGCATTTCATAATATTCAACATCTAGCAGAATAAAACTTTTTTTTCTTTATCAGTTTAAGCTCTAATTTTGAGGCCCGTCATTTTAGTTTTTACATGTTTGTTTAAAATGACTCAACTTATTCCCAATATGTTAAACTGAGATCACCAAACGGACGCCTCGCTTCTTAATGCCATTAATTCAAGACCATGCAGTCGATCACGGCGTTCACTGAGAAACCACGGCTAAACAGGAATGTAAAGTGTATTTCAGTAGCAGAAAGCTATGAGGAGTTGAGAAATGTCATCAGAAATATAAAAGGGAAATACAATTACATCAATAAAACCAGTGGAAGGGAACGGCAGGGCATTACTGAGAGATTAAATACAGTTTCCAGAAATGTATTCAAATTAAATTTTTTATTTAACTAGGGCGTACTTTGACAACATTTTAAATAAACTTTGGTTCTGTTTTGATGAAAGTGTTATTGATTTAAGTGAAAAAAGTTTTTCCCAGTTTAGTCCATTTTCAGACTAAAGATTTATACTGAAAAATTATTCAGCAAGAATCTTAGATGGGCACCTTGTAACAGGTGAAAACGAAGGACAGAAAGCTAATCCAATACGGTATCTCTCATTGATTTTCTTAGAATAAAGATGGTGTGATCAATCAGTCGCACTTGAAATATGAAACACATCTTTATGTGTAAACAAGCTTTATGAGAAATCACAACAAAAGCTAAAATAAGCCAAGAATTTGCCACAAATTCTGATGTAGGGGCTTTACTTATTTGGCGGCTGCTAAACATCAAAGGCCATAAAGTGTTAAACCAATGCCTGAGTGTAGAAAACAACTGGGTTGGGTGGGAAAAAAAATAAAGATGACAGCTATAACTTTTTCATCATAACCATTTCACATAAAAAAAAATAAAAAATCCACAGGACATCTAAGGTGCTTCAGGAAAAAGCACATTAAGATTTGTTTATGACATTTTAGGAGTCCAGAATAATATTGACAGGATTCTGCACTAGGCTTGTCCCGATCCGATACGTGGATCGTATCGGGACGCCGATATTGACAAAAAAATGCGTATCGGCAAAGCATGTAAAATGCCGATCCAGACTGCCGATCCAGTTTTTAAAAAAAAAATCCGGTCCGTATTTTCCAGTTTCGCCGAATGAAACGATCCATTCCACTATTTTGCGCCAGTGTTTCCCTGTTTTGCATTTTTATTTAAACTTACAGTAATACTTGCACCTTTAACTGTTTATGGTTTTACTGTTCACTGTGCAATTTCAGATTTCTATTCATAATTTTGTCCAGTTTGTGTTTATCTCTTAATAAACAGATAAGTTTGTTGTTACCAAGCATTGTGTTTTATTCAATCTCACCTAATTTAGCTGGCTAGATGTTATCAAGAGTACTAAAACCCTTTTCAACATGAGTCTTACAACTAAGGCTAAATACTTAAATACATGCTCGGATAGGCTGGTATCGGCCAGTATCGGTATCGGATCGGAAGTGCAAAAACCTGGATCGGGACATCTCTATTCTGCACCAATAGAAAGAGCAGATTGAAGTCAGGTGAGAAGGAGCTCCATGATAGAGCTTAGAAATTGCTTCTTTAAAAAGGAGCAAAAAGATGACAATCAATGGCCCAATCCCAAATCGACACCTAAACACAACTTCCTGTTTGCACAAAGGGTCCGCCACATTAAGGGCCAATGCAGTACACATATCGGGTAGGGTTAGTGGACCGTTAAGGCCTTAAAAAGGGAGTCTGCATCAGTGCAAACTCACTGGAATTTGACAGCGTGGTAAAGTGGTCGAGAAACATGTGCTTTTAAAAAAAAAAAAAAAAGATGTCAGTAATCCCAAAAGCCGGGCTTACACTATACAATATTTTGTCCTTTTCGGGCCAATTCTCCAGTCTTGCAAGAATTTTTCCATCGGGCCGACTTTCAGGCTGATCGTGCGTCGCGTAGAGTAGAGAGTGTAATGAGGGAAGATTAGCCCCATCTCCGGATCAGGAATCGTAAGGTCGCAAGAAAATTAAACATGTTTGAAATCCAGTCGGCCGTAGTAAGGTCGCATCAGAGCGTTGGACCGAGTGTAAGAACGTGCATCGTGAGCTGTGAACTTTTAAACCCTTCGGTTTCGTCGTACACTTTGAGCTGTAGCTGCCTGCAACGATTGGAAATATCGTACAGTGTTTGCCCGGCTTAAATAGAAGGTCCTCTTTGGTTTGAGGTTATGTTAACATGCAGCAAAGAGCTACAGCCACACACACAGGGGCGGATCTATAGGGGTGGCTACGGGAGCAATTGACTCCCCCGAAATCTGATTGGCTACCCCAACTGCCACCCCAGATGATTGACGGCACCGCTAAAACAGTTGCACGTCTGAAGTCTTTGACTGCGATGTTCTTCCTGTACAGTAGATGGCGCAATGCAGCATGCGCTATGCAGCCCCTTTCCAGTCGTGAATCTAGTGTGAAAGAAGAAGAACTAAAGCGCCTGTGGAGCCACCGAGTGCAACAAGCTGCAAAACATTATACAACATTCTTTGGGAAAAGGCTGCGCGCTCTCGAGATGGCTTTTATTCTCGTTTGGACCGACTGACGCATATCGGTGAGTAGGCTGCACGTCCACAGATTATATTCATAAAAGAAGCTCAATAACTAAGAGTTTGATAAGTTCAGTCAATGAGGATCATCCTCTGTTCAATTGATGTCCGTTTCATAAATCAGAATGATAAGGAGAAGCCCTTGCTTTTCACGAAGGGCGGCTAGAAGCTAGCCTGGCTGAAAACAGACAGGTGCAGGTGGGTGATATTGATGCGTTTCAGTGTCAATTTCTGTGATTTCATGCCCACGTCTGCTGAAAATACTGCTGACGAGAACGGAAACTATTTCATTTTTTTTTAATGTCCGTGTCTAGAACCTTCTGAATTATGAAACCAGCAATATCTTTGATCAGAACCGTTTGCCCATGTCATGAAATGCATTACTAGTCGTAGATAATTCACGACCGATGTAGTTAGCTAGTCTCAGGGCAGCAGACAAATGTAATCCACAGTAAAGTTATGGCAGGCTGAAACCTTAATTGAATGGATAGATTCAGAGGCGTGCACAGACATTTTGGGGGGCAGGTGCTCAGGAGGGGGGGAGGGCACTTTTTAGCGCACGTGGAACACTTAATTATAAAAAAAAATACACACGCATGTTGAATGAATTTTGACTTTTATTTGTAACATTCTATAAACGTGAGTTTTCTATGAAAAAAAGTCACACCACCAACAGAACAGACTAAAGCGTACGCTTGCTCATCTTTCTTGTTCGTTCATCTGCTCATCTCCCGCTCATCTCCCTGTTTTCCCTCATCCTGCTGTTCTCCCTCACCCATCTGCTCTCACTCATCCATCTGTTCTCCCTCATCCCGGTCTTTTTCTGTCTCTGTGTCTTCCCTGAACTCTTCCTCATCTCCTGTCCTGGTAGATGTTGATGGTATAGAGCTCCCCTGCTGTGACTGGCTACATTATAATAATAATAATAACCATCATGACAATAATAATGATAATAATAATAATAATAGCTTTAACAAATATGCCACATTAGTTTAAATAATGGGCTATTAAGGCAACATGACGGGATGTCTTGTCACGTGGATATGACTTATGGTAGCCTACAAAATAATAGCTATTTTAATACCTGCTGCACAAACCACTTAAAAATAAAATGTGAACAGCTTTTAAGGTTTTTCAATACGATTAACCCTCCTTTATTGGCATTGTGCTGCAATTACTAAATCAATATACAATTAAGACAATAAAGAGACCAAAATTTGTTAATTAATGTTTCCTAACAAAACCTATACAACAGAAAACGTTTGTCTTAACACATAGATTTGCAATTGCAAACTCTACCGAAATTATTTGTAGCCCATGTGGTCGTCCTCACGTTATCTGTCATTGACTTGGGCTACAGTGTAAAACTTTATCTAGTTTAACTAGTTTATCAGGTGACCAGTCGGCAAAAGGCATGTTTGGTGCTGCTGAATAAGACATTTTAATGCACAACAAAATGATTTTGCTTGATCTGTATATTACCTGGCTAATGGGGCAGGGGAGAAGCAGCCTGTCAGCGACCGTTCCTGCTATCTGAAGATGCTTACTGAACTGCTATGATGCTGCGCATCTGGCATGCCCTGCGGGCGACCGCGCAAGTTCACGTGACAAAGGAAGAGAGATAGGCTGGTCGGGTGTGTAAGGAGGTGGCTCATTTCGGGGCATTGTTTCAGTCGTTTTTAATGGCTCAGGTTTTCAAAAGATCATTTTAAAACCGACCTCAGTAAAATCTTAATAATAAAAATAAAAAACGAGTTTCAAAAGGGCATTTTCGTTGATAAAGGGCAAACTTCCTAGTGCTTTAGCACCACCTAGTGTCTATGTATGCACGCCCCTGGATAGATTGCAGTCACTAGACATGTCCTATTGTTGTGTTCTGATATTTCTAGGCTGTAATAATGTAGTCTGTATTCATTAATTTCCTTGTGCGTCATTTTGGACACGAAATGTTGCATTTTGCTTTGATAAGAGAAGTCATGCATGCTAGGAGTAACAAAACGTTTTTTTTCCAGTTGAGAATGAAAAGACAGGGAGGCACGATTTATAACTACTTTAAGAGAAACAGATCAGGCTTAGAGCAGATCAGCAGCCCCGGCAGCCCTCATCCTGGGACTAGTCAGGAAAGTCCGGCAGAATCCAGCCTGTCATCATCGCCAGGTTTGAACATACAGAGGCAGTCACATGTTCAGTTATTTTAAATTATATTTAACATTATTTCAGATGTTCAGTTCAGTCATTTTAAGTTATGTTAAACACTATTTTGAATGTTGGTTATTGTTGTATGTTCAGTTTTAGACAATGGTTGTTTATTTTGATCATACTATTAAATAAATATTTTTCTACTATGTAGGTGTGAGAGTGGACCGAGATGATGACAGGTCCCAAGCTGGAACCATTACCGAGGAGTGTCAGGCACAACACAGCCCACCATCATCAGGTCAGAGCAAGTCAGACATGCCAAGTTCAGTCAGTGTGAGATTGTTCTATACAGGTGCTGGTCATAAAATTAGAATATCATGAAAAAGTAGATTGATTTCAGTAATTCCATTTAAAAAGTGAAACTTGTATATTATATTCATACATTACATACAAACTCATATATTTCAGATGTTTATTTTGTTTAATTTTGATGATTACAAATGACAACAAATGAAAATCTCAAATTCATCATATCAGAAAATTAGAATATTGTGAAAAGGTTCAAAATTGATGGCCCCTGGTGCCACACTCTAATCAGCTAATTAACTCAAACCACCTGCAAAAGCCTTTAAATGGTCTTTCAGTCTAGTTCTATAGGCTACACAATCATGGGGAAGACTGCTGACTTGACAGTTGTCCAAAAGACGACCATCGACACCTTGCACAAGGAAGGCAAGACACAAAAGGTCATCGCTAAAGAGGCTGGCTGTTCACAGAGCTCAGTGTCCAAGCACATTAATAGAGAGGCGAAGGGAAGGAAAAGATGTGGTCGAAAAAAGTGTACAAGCAAGAGAGATAACCGCACCCTGGAGAGGATTGTGAAACAAAACCCATTCAAAAATGTGGGGGAGATTCACAAAGAGTGGACTGCAGCTGGAGTGAGTGCTTCAAGAACCACCACACACAGACGTATGAAAGACATGGGTTTCTGCTGTCGCATTCCTTGTGTCAAGCCACTCTTGAACCACAGACAGCGTCAGAAGCGTCTTGCCTGGGCTAAAGAGAAACAGGACTGGACTGCTGGTGAGTGGTCCAAAGTCATGTTCTCTGATGAAAGTAAATTTTGCATTTCCTTTGGAAATCAAGGTCCCAGAGTCTGGAGGAAAAGAAGAGAGGCACTTCATCCACGTTGCTTGAAGTCCAGTGTAAAGTTTCCACAGTCAGTGATGGTTTGGGGTGCCATGTCATCTGCTGGTGTTGGTCCATTGTGTTTTCTGAGGTCCAGGGTCAACGCAGCCACATACCAGGAAGTTTTAGAGCACTTCATGCTTCCTGCAGCTGACCATCTTTTTGGAGATGCAGATTTCATTTTCCAACAGGACTTGGCACCTGCACACAGTGCCAAAGCTACCAGTACCTGGTTGAAGGACCATGGTATCCCTGTTCTTAATTGGCCAGCAAACTCTCCTGACCTTAACCCCATAGAAAATCTATGGGGTATTGTGAAGAAGAAGATGCAATACACCAGACCCAACAATTCAGAAGAGCTAAAAGCCACTATTAGAGCAACCTGGGCTATCATAACACCTGAGCAGTGCCACAGACTGATCGACTCCATGCCACGCCGCATTGCTGCAGTAATACAGGCCAAAGGAGGCCCAACTAAATACTGAGTGCTGTACATGCTCATACTTTTCATGTTCATACTTTTCAGTTGGCCAACATTTCTATAAATCCTTTGTTTTTATTGGTCTTCAGTAATATTCTAATTTTCTGATATGATGAATTTGAGATTTTCATTTGTTGTCATTTGTAATCATCAAAATTAAACAAAATAAACATCTGAAATATATGAGTTTGTATGTAATGTATGAATATAATATACAACTTTCACTTTTTAAATGGAATTACTGAAATCAATCTACTTTTTCATGATATTCTAATTTTATGACCAGCACCTGTAATATGTAATTTATAGTATGTGTTGCTTTTAACATTATTTATTTATATTATTTTTATTGTTATTATTGTTTCACAATATAGTTCCTTCTGAGGAAGGCTCTGAGGCTTCTGAACAGGACGACGACCCAGACCCAGAGCAACCTGAGCCTGAAGATGTTTCCAGCACTGCCTTTGCACCTTCAAAAGGGCCCAGTGGTAGGTCTATTTGAAACCTATACGTCTATGTGATACCTGCTAATTCGCTGTTTCTGATCACCTTGTGCATCTCTGATTCTCAACTATGAGTCATTGTATCATGTTACAGATATTTCAACATCGAGAGAAGAGGTACCAGTTCAGCCACATTTGAGTAAATACCCCAAGACTCTCCATGGCACCAGCAAGAGGGCCTTCAATAGCAAGTGGTACACGAACAATTCATGGCTTGAGTATTCAGTGTCAAAAAACTCTTGCTACTGCTTTGCTTGCAGGCATTTTTCGTTGCCCAATGCGCCTGACTTTGCCTTCACATCTGATGTAGGCTTTTCAAATTGGAAAAAGGCACTGTCAAAAGAGGCAGGATTTAAACTCCATTCTAGATCTTAGCTTCATATTAACGCAATGTATGCATGGTCTGAGTTCAAAAAGAGGAAAGAAGTAGATCAGACTTTGTTAAATGCGCTAAATGAAAAGCACAAAAAAAAGGTGCAAGAAAACAGGCAGTACATCAAAACAATTGCAGAAGTACTCCTTTTGACTGCCACCCAAAACATACCCCAAAGGGGTCATGAAGAGTCTCAAGAATCAAAAAACAAGGGTAACTTCTTGACAATACTTGACACAATCGCGAAACATGACAGCTTCATACAGCAAAGGTTAGAGGCATCTGGTAATGCAAAGTACACCAGTCACAACATCCAAAATGAAATGCTTCAGACATTAGCTGATATGGTTCAAAAACAAATAATTGCAGAAGTGAAAGAAAGTGAAGTCTTTAGTGTTATGGCTGACGAAACAAAAGATTTGAAAAAAAAGGAACAAATGTCGTTGGTAGTGCGCTACTACTACAATGGTGCCATACATGAAAGCTTCCTATGCTTCCAACCAGCTGAGACCCTTAATGCAGAAGGCCTCAGTCAAATGATTGTCCGTTGTTTAGAGAGACATGGTCTAGACTACAGAAACAACTTGGTGGGACAAGGTTATGACGGAGCCTCTGTCATGAGTGGCAAGCATTCTGGGGTTGCAGCAAAAATACAGAGCAATGCCAGATTTGCGTTTTACGTGCATTGCAATGCTCATTGCTTAAATTTAGTTCTTGTTGATGCTACAAAATCAGTGCCTGAGGTTGTGGACTTTTTTGCACTTCTGCAGCAGCTATATAACTTTATATCTGGCTCTTATGTGCACCTGAGGTGGCTTGATGTTCAACAGAAACTATATCCATCACAGCAGCCCAGGGAACTACAGTCACTTTCAGACACCAGGTGGGCCTGCAGATATGCAGCATGCCGTAATCTTAGGGACAGACTTCCTGCAGTGCTGAAACTATTGCAAGATCTCTCACTTGAAAAACATGGTGAAAGATCAGTGCTAGCAAGGGGGCTTCTTTCACAAATTGACTTGCAGTTCTTGGGGCTTTTGGTCACTTTCTGTGAAGTACTTGGGGATGCCAAGTGTCTGTCAGACATGCTCCAGTCCAGCACTCTCAACTTAGCAAGGACTGTGGATTTAGTACAGTCCCTTAAAAGCACTTTCCACAATTACAGATCTGATGATTATTTTAGCAAACTGTGGAAAGAGGTTGAGGAGCTTGCACAACAGTGTGAAATTGGTGTACAAGCAGACAAGAAAAGGCAACGAAAAATAAGCTCAAAATTCCTGGACTCACTGATGATGAGCTCAGTAGGGCAGAGAAATTGGAATGAAGAGGATTTCCCCAGAGCATTATTTTACCAAGTCATTGATTGTCTAATTAGTGAGCTGGATAGGCGTTTTTCTGGCAAAAATTGTGAGATCATGCATGGTGTCCAGTCTCTCAATCCAAATAGTGCAACCTTTCTAAATAATGAGCCTTTGTTTGCCTATGCCCAAACCTTTGAGTCTGATGTATGCGACCTTAGACATGAAGTTCACCAAACAAAGCGGCTACTGGAAAGGAGAATGAAAAGGGGTTTAGACAAACCAGCTTCTCTGCTTGAATTTCTTGTCTTTCTTGAGCCCTACAAAGAAGTTTTTCACGAGCTATTCAGGCTCTGCAAAATAGCCATTGTTATACCTGTTAGCACTGCTTCCTGTGAGAGAAGCTTCTCTGCCTTAAAGCTAATAAAAACACATCTCAGGACAACAATGATGGATGACCGGTTGAATCATCTAGCCATTCTAAGTGTTGAGTCCAGGAGGGCACGTGCCCTTGACATGGATGATTTTGTCAATAATTTTGCCACTTCTCATCAAAATAGAAGAATTATGCTTCTTTGAAGTTATCACCATGCTCTGCACTCAAATCAAGTCAAGTGAACGTAATTGTTAAAAATCTATGTCACACAGTCATCACAGAAGTTTGCACACACATACACATTAAACACTTGATAGCACACACACAAACACACCTTGTGCTGAAGAAGAAGACTAACACTTATGGACAATAGCAATGTGCAAAGAGTAAAGTGCAAGGGTCATGGTGAAAGAAATGTTCATGGAATGTTCTCCAATGTCATTTAAATATTAAATGTAGTTTTCCTTAATGTGTTGATGAATCTGGCTTGTGGAAAGAAGCTGTTTCCCAGTCTGCTTGTGCTTCCCTGATTGTAGCAGGGAAAACAGTTTGTATGCTGGGTGAGTGGGATCTTTGATCTGTGTTTCTGTTATCAGAGAGTTGAAGAATGCACCATATTCATTTTGTGCATAAATAAACTACAAATTGTACTCAAAATTGCACCTTTTGTCTGCTTAGTATGTGGCTACTTAAATATGATTGCAAATTACTGCTTACAAGGTTTATATAAGAAAGGTCAATAAGCCTTATTTAACTTGTAAATTATGCACCAAAGATAACCACAAACTAGTTGGCTTTCATCTGTAGCCCCTGGAAGTTTGATGTTGAAAGAAGTGTGTTTGTGTGTGTGTGTGTGTGTGTGTGTACATATAGAGTATAACAAGAATGATAAGTCATTACTCATGACATGTCAAAGAAGAACACAAGACAGGACCAACATCTGTAAGTCCATGTAGAAATAAATGATAGTGAATAATAATTTAAACGTGACATGAAAAGGTATACAGCACTCGATTGCTTACAGACGGTTGGTGTTTTCTGCTGCGACATTAACGCTAGTGCATAAACGTTGTTATTTTTAAGTATAAACCATTGCCCCCCTAAAATACACTTGGCCACCCCCTTGCTACCCCAAGGATAAAAGTCTAGATCCGCCCCTGCACACACATGCACGACTTTGGAGTGACACTCGATAGTGAAGGTTTAGTGGTTTGGGATTCAATCAATGGAGGTTACCACTTTCCTCTCTTTCTGTATTGTAATGCTGACAAGCAGCTTGTAGGGGCAATACCTTCTCATACCAGGATGGAGCGTAGGATAAAAACACCACTATCATTCAACAGATCTAAAAAAATACTTAATACTAATTGAACATGGCTGTAATGTTGCCCTCAGATGGAAGTTTATCATCTCTCATACCAGCCTCATTTGTCTTCCTTCTGTTTATATCTTGGAAAAATCATAAGTCTGAGGTTTACCCATGATACTGATCTGCACAGTTAAATACCCAATTAGCTTTAGCAGAACAGAGTGACAGCGCACCACTTACTGGCTGGAAGGAGTTAAACCTAAAGGAAAGCCTTTTCTATTTACTCCTTTTGCAGAACTGACTTTTTGATTCTGCCTGAATCAACAGAAACTGGATTAACTAAGCTAATTAGTTCTGCAATTTATGGAAGTAAACCTCTGCTTTACTAATGTTATGGAAGAGAAATAATAAACCAAATAAAAACTAAAGAGATCAGAAACAAACAGGATATTAACTTATTTTAAACAAGATGCACCTCAGAGTGAAGATACATTAATTTTCCATCCAATCTTGTCTTAATTGTGAAAGCATTTATATGAGTTAATGCAGAGCTCAAACTGCTTCCTGTCAGAATGGCCATCAGAGTCATATTTCATGTGCGAGTCATTTCTGACATGCTTTCTTGTCCAGTTTGAGGCGATTACTTATGAAATGCCACTCGAGGCATTTAACAACAAACAGAAGTAAAAAAAAAAAAAAAAAGTCCAGTAACACTGACTTAGAGCCAAGCTCCTTCACTCGTCCACCTGTTCACCAAGGAAAGCTTAGCAGGACAAACACACCCGTTCCTGACATACTGATACTACCCAACATGAACCCCCCCCAATAAACTTTGCTCCTCTGAAGTTATAACAACTAAAACCTGGTGAACTTTTATCCTAAATGTGATGAACTCAGAACAAACAGAAGCAAAATGTGCCGTTTACCATGTTTTCTATAGGGCTCCTCCTCATTCTCAGGCATGTTGAAACTCCTTTCAGGGCCAAACGCCGAGATGTAGAGAAATTATCTGCTCACTTCTTCTGCTACCAGTGAATAGAATGGAGAGAACCAGAAGCAGAGCGTAAAACCAGTCCGACCTGTCTGCTAATAATCCAACGACGCTCCACCTAACCCTCAACTCTCGTCCCACTTCTGTTTATGCTGAAACAACTGTGTTCCACCTGCAGAATATCTTGCTTTAACTCCACCCTTTTCCTATAGACCTCATGCTGTGTGGGGAGAAAAAAACATCTTCACGCCCACAAAAGCATTCAAACACATCTACAGGGAGGCAGGGAGGGGAACTGAGGGGTGGAGATTGTAATCTGAGGAGAACTTGGTGGGATGCATTCAGGAGGCATGGAAAAGAAAAAGAATCCACCTCAAGTTTGGATGAACAATTGGTTTCAGGTGTGGAGTCTGAGGGGATAATTACAATCACCTGCCATGTTTCCTCCCTCTTGTGGAGAATTTTGGGTATTGCATCAGACCGCAATAGGAGGACACAAAAAGTCCAACAGTTTCTTGTTGCTTTATTGAGTTTCCATCAGAGGGGACAGGATGTTTGCTCCTCTCTCTCTGTTTGGCATTTCCAAGCAAAAGCAGTTGAAACATACTGAATCAATCAATCTACAATGAGAGCGCAGAAACCAAATGTTGCAAATACTTTCCACACATGCAGAGTGAGAGCAGAAAGAAGGGAAACAAGGAAATGACAGAAAGTTTCCTTCAGCTCTGCTCCTGTTTCATGACCAACCCTACAGCCTACAGCCCACACACTGCAGCTCTAACCATCATATCTCTGCTCAAAGGATTTTTTTCATTCATTTTATTATTCACTACTAAATATTATATGTATTTTTCTACATTCAACTCAGATTATACGGTAGGCTACTAATTCCCCACATCAAGCCCTTTCCCATTACAGCCCCAGAGTTAACACCCAGCAACCATTATTGTCATTCAGATCATTAAAGTTAATCCAACAGGATATTGAGACAGAGGAGATTTTAGATTCAATTTACCAGGGGAGGGGATTAAGTCAATTTAGTGAGCCAAGGTTGCAAACTCCTTATTTACTGTCTGGAAAGCTGTACTACACAAAAATGTAATTTTTTATACACAGAGTGTATAAAAAATTACAATACAAGTTGTCTAAGTAAAATGATCTAAGATGAAAACTGTGATCCTATCTTAATATGAGTAAAACTTAAAGCCAACTGTGGTTTAAATAATCGTTCAAGTAAATTATGAAGGCAAAATATTAAATTGGTCCAATAAATCAGTTGAAATCTTTCCAGTCACC